AAGATCCAATCTTATTAGTCGTTGATTTGCCGATTGTCATCCTTATCTCTAGTTAACTTATCACTTAGTATGGAGGGAGTTCATCTCCCTCAACGCTTCCAGCCCTCTTTCCACCCAATTGTCACTTTCATTTTTTTTTTTCTCATTTTTTACCAGAGGGCTTCTAGCCCAGTGGTATCAGGTGGTGCCCTCCCTCCTTAAGGTCGATGGTTTAAGTCCCGTGGTGGACATAGGTAGAATTAGATTTTAGTTTAGGAATAGAGTATAATATTTATATTTGCCAGTTCAAAAAAAAAAAAAAATCTAAGTACTGAAGCTTATGATACAAGCTAAGAGAAAAAGAGTTGAATGAGTTTTTACTCATACACGAAACCCTTCTTCTAATTGGTCATCACCAAATATTAGAGCTGACAAAAATCTATCCAACCCGCCAACCCAACCCGAATCTAACCCAAAATTAGCGGGTTGGGTTGATATTTTCAACACATTTAACTTAAATGGGTCAACCCGTCTAACTCAATTAATTAAATAGGTTGGGTTGGGTAAAAATTATTAATCCGTTTTCAACCCATCAACCCATTTAACTTTAATATATATATATATATATATATATATATATATATATAATTTGATATTATTTGAATATTATCATGTATTAATCAAAGTATTAATTTGTAAATTATAATGTTGCATTATTATTATCTATGTTTAATACAATTAAATCCTAATTTCCATCCTTTTTTTAGCGCCGATAATACTGGTCACTCTCCAAAATCACTGTGAAACTAAACATTTTTAATGTTATTTGAACAATTTATTTGTATTTATGAATTAGGATTGTGCTTTTGTCATAATTATGAAGTTTTATTTACGTTTTATAATTTAAGTGGTATAATATTTAATTATATAATTGATTTTAAATGGGTTAACCCAAGTTTAACCAATTTATTTAATAGGTTGGGTCGGAAACTACATAAATAAGTCAACTTGGTGACAACCCATTTATCTAAAAGGTTGGGTTGGGCTGGAAATATCAACCCATTTAAATAAACAGGTTGGGTTGGGTTGAAATTTTCAACCCAATTATTAAATGGGTTGAACCTGAACCCAACCCAGATCGACCCATTGCCACCTCTACCAAACATCACGTCAGTACCAAAGTAATCTTGTATAACAAATTATTCATGGTATTCCTTGTATAACGATTTAAACATATTTAAAGTAATATTGAAAATCAAACAATTTAATATATATATATATATATATATATATATATATATATATATATA